TTATAGCAAGTGAAGCCTAAAACTAATGTTTTCCACAAATAATTTTAAATGAATTGCAAGTTACGAGTTTATTTAACCGACTATTTAAGTTTATTATTGAACAAAAAATAAATTACACTTCTAATATTGTGTGGTTGGAATACATTTAGTATGGAAGCTGGAAACTTTGAATTTTCGGATAGTTCCAGTTTATTGTGTAACCTATTATTGGTACCATTTGAAAGAGCTTGTGAAGTACTTTCAGGATCAGTAACCAGTTTTTCGATATCTTGTATAGTTTAGAAATAATCGAGTGAGATCACTTATCGTTTCCACCCTGTATAGAGCCAGGTCCAATTGCCTTCGGTGTACTTGTTAGTTGTAAGTCTAACTACCTGTACCTACCTATGTCTAATGGTTCGAAGGCAATAAATACATTTTTCATTTTATTTTGTTTATTTTAAAATTGGATTGCCATCGGAAAGTACTTACAACAAAAAAAATAAAAATAAACTATTGATTGAACCTTTCCAGAGAGAACGTATACCGTGACGCTGAAGTAGTATCAACTAGTCCGGCGCGGCGCTCGCCCGACGCGGCGCGTTCCCTCAGCATCAGCCTCAAGAGTCCAGCCAAGGCCAAGCCCGCCACGCCTGTCAAGAAGATCGATCTGGGTATGATGCTCTCCTTATTCTTTTCTTCTTGTGTTGTTCTTGATACCCATTCTTATAAGATACACCATACAAGAATGCATGGCAAATTCAGTGAACTGCTCCTGAATCGAATGTACCTACTACTACTATTTCTATTTATTTATATTAACCGGCAGACAGTGGTGACTGAGTTTGTTCTCTCTTCTCAGCACTTGCCAAATGTTGGTCTCGAAGCGCTGGTAGGGTAAAAAGATTATGAGACATGTAGAGGCTCCTTAAGAGCAAAATGACGATTTGTAAGAACTATTTATTAGTCCAAACAAATAAAGAAATTTTGACTTTTTTTACTTTTTTTTTGACTTGATCAATACCGGCCTAGAATGTATCGCGCCATTTTATCGATTTTTAACGATAACGTTTGTCGTCTAAAATCATCGATAACATTTTATCATGGCGCGCATCCTAGCCTGGCAGGGCTTGGCGGAATAACATTCGTGCCAGACTAAATAGTTTATTGACCAGGGTAATGACATTATTTTTCTTATGGTATGGTGTTGTAACATACCAAGGCCTACAGTAAAAGTAATATTCGTGTCAGATTGATAAATAAAAAAGTTGAAAGAAAAAAATTACACTTGTTACTTCGTTTGGAGGATCTATTGAAGAAAAGTCAGGCAAACTAGCTATTTCTACTCATATGCCTGCGTACTCTGCGTAAAGTTATCACCTAATGATTGTAATAAAATCACAATCCGAATGTAGAACCGTTTGCATAGAAGAAAGTCGGCAATTTGTATGAAAAATGAGACGACAAAAGCCGAATTAGCCAGTTTATTAAATACCTTTCGATATTAATAGACAGTTAGACATCATACCCCAATAATTCAAAACCACAACTTTTCTAAAAAGACCCTTCATTCTGGTCTTAAAAACTTAATTAATTTTAAATTACTTGTAAATTACGATTTTTGTTCGCATTGTAATTGCAAAAAGTAGTTTAATTGAGTTGAAAAAATAGTGACGTCACTTGCTTGTAATGCCATACAAAATCTATGGGAGAGTTTCGTTTTGACAGTTTTAAAAAGTATGTCAATTGATTGGTGGTGTCAACATGTCTATTTCTAGGTGCAGCAGCGACATACGGCAAGACCGCTCCGACGCCGGCACCAACTCCCGCCACCAACAACTCGCAGGAACTAATCGACGACCTGTTCAAGACTTGTGCGCCTACGCCGAGCAGTGGCAGCGCGTCGCTAGTGCTGGAAGACGACTTTGATCCGAGGTAAGTGGGATTGGACGTTTAAATAGACTCCGTGCCGATCTACAGGACATAAACACGAATCAGATGTCTTGTAATTCCACGATGCGAGTGACATCGTATCTTAGAACACTGTACACGTTAATCGTTAATTTTTCAATAATAATATTCAAAGACGATATTGAGATGGGCACGTTCCGATGTTGTAGATTTCTACGATTCGATGTCGGCCTGATATTTACTTGTAGGTCCTTTGTCGCCTTTTATGAAATCCACGAAAAGAGTGGACCTATTCTACTCAACTGGAATTACTACTCGGCTTACGGCTTACTGATGTTATAAGGAATTAACAAATTAACTTATTTCCACGATATTCATCACATTAACATAAACTTTCAGAGCGGGCGAGCCAAAACCAGCGCCCAAAGACAACAGCGACTTCGGCGAGTTCACAGACGCGTTCGGAGCGCCGCCAGACTCCAACGATGGCTTCGCGGACTTCTCAAGCGCATTCACCAGCGCCCCAGCCCCCAATCCAGCCCCTCTATCTATGGGGGCAGCCCCCCTATCTATGGGGGCAGCCCCCCTATCGATGGGGGCGGCGCCATTATCGATGGGGGCGCCTCTTTCGCTCGGAACGCCTTTGTCAATGAACACAGCCAACTTGATATCGGTGAACGCGCCCAGTTTGCAGCCGATGTCTATGCCTGTACAGAATTCTGGTGAGTGCTTGAATTTGTTATTGTTTGGGTATATTTTGGACAGTTGTTTTTTATTTTCAGATATGACTCAGTATTTTTTATGTAGAACAAGGTAAAGCCTGGTCCGTGAGCACGTAGAATTTTGTTCAATGACCCCAAGCTACCCATCCTTATCGCTCGCACGTAATTAATTATGTTGCTGTCGCGCTCGCACACTCACTGCGGGCGCCGGTCGCACAGTCGCGACAGCAATATAATTACGCGCGAGCGATAAGGATGGGTAGCTTGGGGTCATTGGACAAAATTCTACGTGCTCATGAACCAGGCTTTAGATATTTGACCGCAATGCAATTGCACCTGATGTTAGGTGAGACTTTTTTGTAAAGATGGTGTAATTATAATCGTACAAAATGAATTAAGTTAAAATACTATGAACATAGAGATATAGAGAGATGTCAACTAATGCGCTGAGTTCGAAACTCTGTCGCATTAGAAATTCACACACACAAAGTAATTGAATTATGTGCTCAATATCCACTGCGGTATCAGTACTGAACGTTCGAATAATCTTGTAACGTAAAACATTATTATGACGTTGCTGCTGTCATCATTGCTGCCACGAGCAATGTGTTCTGTTTTTGGGCATATGGCTGCGACACCGGCTCCGCCCCTTTGTCACATTTCCCTTTAGTTTCTGTTATCTGTGACTATGAAGTATGTATGGCCATTATTTAATTAAATTAATTAATTGTTAATATATCTGAAGTCTAAGGCCCAGAACAGACGGTGAAACGCAACTGCTACGAAACTGCAACTTTCTGATGATTCTGATGAATGAAACCGAAACTGAAAGTTTCAAACTGGTCGCGTCATGACATGCGGACTCTATGTCAGAAACGTAGATGCAACTCAAAAGTAACTAGCAGTTGCAGTTTCGTTGAAGTTCGGTTTCACCGTCTGTTCTGGGCCTTAGCCTTTCATTGATTTTTTCATGGTAAAATTCTATTGATTTTTTCATCTACACTAATATTATAAAGAGGAAAACTTTGTTTGTTTGGTTTTAATGAATAGGCTGAAAAACAACTGGACCGTTTTTAAAAATTTTTTCACCATTCGAAAGCTACATTATCNTATCCACGAGTCATCATTTCAGCCACAGGACGTCCACTGCTGAACATAGGCCTCCCCCAATGCTTTCCATGTTGATCGATTGGTAGCGGCCTGCGTCCAGCGCTTCCCTGCTACCTTTACGATGTCGTCGGTCCACCTTGTAGGTGGACGTCCCACGCTGCGTTTTCCGGTACGCGGCCTCCATTCCAGAACCTTTCTGCCCCATCGGCCGATCGGCCATCCACGAGTAACATAGGCTAAATTTTATTTTGGAAAAACATAGGGTTCAGGGGTCCACGCGCGCGAAGCCGCGGGCGGAAAGCTAGTGGTAAATAAAAACATAACTTACCAGAACCTTCAATTTTACTTCCAGCGGCGTCGAACCTGGACCTCCTGAGCGATCTGTCCACACCACCGCTAGCGCCAACGCTCAGCCCATTAGAAGCCGCGCCTGCGCAGCTTGCCGCCGCGCTGCCGCCCGCGCCCGGTCAGTAATACACACTAAAACCCGGTCCGTGAGCACGTAGAATTATGTCCAATGACCCCAAGCTACCCATCCTTGTCGCTCGCGCGTAATTATGTTGCTGTCGCGACTGTGAGCGTGCGAGCTCGACGGCAACATAATTACGCGCGAGCGATAAGGATGGGTAGCTAGGGGTCTTTGGACAAAATTCTACGTGCTCACGGACCAGACTATACACTATACATTACAAACGCGTACTATCAACAAAGTCGAAGCATGATCACTATTTATATTAACCGGCAGACATTGGTGACTGAGTTTGTTGCGGCGCCTCTTCTCAGCACTTGCCAAATGTTGGTCTCGAAGCGCTGGTAGGGTAAAACGATTATGAGACATGACGCTCCTTAAGAGCAAAATATTTGACAATTTGTAAGTACTATTTATTAGTCTATGCAAATAAAAAAAATAATTTACACAAAATGACCATACTTGATGACGCCCACAATTTTGTTTTCTGCATTATTTGAAAAGAAACAAATAACAAATAGCGGGGGTCAGGTCTAGACGCTGCGAAGTAATCAAATCAAATC